GCAGCAAAGGCCTGCAAGGCTAGCCTTTCTGGTCCCCTTGAGGCCACCAACAGCCAGGGAGTAACATGTGCTGCCTTCCTCATCTGAGCTTTCTGTATTTTAGTGGAGAGACGTCTTCCACCGTCATGGTGGAAACCACCCTGGCGGGCTGTTCCCCATCACCTTGGGCTGCCCTTGCCTCTGGTACGTGGTCAGACTGCCAGGTGGGGAACGGTGTGGGATCGGGCTGTGCATGAGCACATCTCACACACATCTGAAGCCCTTCTCCCATCACCTCCGTCTCCCCTGCCCTGCAGCACTGTGTGTTCCAGGTCCCTTCTTCCCCTGTCTACCTCGCCTCCGGCCCCATGGCACGGGGAGCATGGCTCGTATGCCAATGCCCCGCCACGGCTGGAGTGACACTAAGCTTGTAACAAACCCTCGTTTTATAGGAGCTGTACTCTTTATTGCTTGTAAATTATTAATGGAGCCTTTTATTGGCAAATCACGTCTAAAGGAGAATTAAATGCCACTCATAATGGGAATGGGTGGCAGGCTATGGGCTTGCGTGTTACTGGAAAGGCTTGGGTGATGCATGATGTGGTATTTTTCTCCTCCTTTAGCTGAGACACAACTGCCCAGCCCTCCAGGGGAAAGAGGGAGCACTGCTTTTGCTGTTGTACGGCAGCAGGACTTGTGGGGAGAGGACAGGCTAAGCATGCCACAGACTGAGCCCCCTCCCATTTCTAGCTGCCCCCTGTTTCTCAGTCCCTTGCCTCTCCCCGGTGGTAATGTTGGCCAGGTTGCCCTAGGAAAGCCAGGAAAAAGCTCACTTGATGTGTCTGGCTGAGATCCCTAGAGCTTCATGTCCCTCCATGCCCTGGTTATCATGAAGTGACAAGCCAGCTATCTCATCCTCCTGAGGGGACAACAGTGAGCCTGAGCCCAGCCACACAGCCAGGAGAGGAGTGGGGGCTGTTCCCACCCTGACATGGGGCTGAGCGTGGGTTTGGACTCTGGCAGAGGGAAGATGGAGGGTTTGGGCAGCAACAGCCATGCTCACCCACCCTAGCATGCTCCTGACTGCTAATCAATCACCGTTATCAGCCCTGCTGTGGGAAAGGGGCGTCAGGGTGCCCGTGCTATGGAGAAGTGGTGGTTGTGGAGGTAGATGGTCTTTCCTGGGCTGTGCAACAGTAAAATGGAGTCTGTGACTTAGGGGGGCACGAGGCCAGGAACGGGGCTGAGCCCACTGCTACTGGGGTCAGTGGGAGAAGATGGGCAACCAGCACCAGAGTCAAGTCCTCTGTGTCCTCCTGCGATTAGGGCACTGCTAGGGCCATCCACTTTGGAAGCTCTAAGCAAAGATTAAATTGCTGATCTTCCTGGGTCCCCTGTGAGGTGTTATTTCAGGCTCTAAACCAGTTGCCTGTGTCTTTCATGAGGACAAGAATGAAGGGGGGAGGAAAGAAAATGACAAGATTTTAACCTGCAGTCACTAAAATGTAGAGCAAAGTCCCAGCTCTGCCCTGGAGCCACGCAACTCTCGTCCCAGGGAAGGGGGAATGGGTGTAACACATGGCTCCAGATGAAAGCTCCCAAATGTCATCCACTCCAGGGGATGCAGCCCGAGCATCCTGGCACAGCCAGCCCCCTGGGAGGGTGCTTGCCCTGCAGGCAAACAAAGTGGGACTCTTGTTGAGCTGATGAGAAGACAAGTCCCGAAGGAAATTCCCATCCACCCTGGCATGGATTTGGAGATTAGAGTTTACATCTTTGCAGGGAAAAAAAGTAGCACTTGAGTACCCAGGGAGAATGCTCTGTGTGAGGCACTCTGATTCAGGGCTTGACAACTCCTGCCACTTCTGGCCCTGGGAACCATCCCCAGCCCTATGGCCTAGGCTGAGGGTGGTTAAGAGCAAGCCCCCCTGTTTTGGGTAGTTCAGGCTGTGCTCCCACCTTAGTGCTTGCTAGCCACCCCAATTAAACGGATGTCCCCCAGAACCTCCCTGGGCCATCAGTATTATCAGCAGGAGGGAAAGGAAGGCAGAAGAAGGTTTGCTGGGAGGCAGGTTGGCACTGCCCAACTCTCCAAACAGCAGGCACCACTGCCTCGCTTGCTCCCAGGCCCTATCTTTATCAGACTTGTCTGCCCTGAGGCTTTTCAAAATCCAGCTTCAACTCATTCTGGACACGGGTGAGAAGTGGGGCAGAGGGCTCCAAGGCAAATATAAATGACCTCCCCCTGCCCTGCACACCCCAGCCCACCTTCTTTGTACCTCTGGGGGGTTGGCTGCCTGCTCAGAGGAATGAGTCACGGGTTAGGTAACCCAGCAGAATGCAATTAGCAGCCCTGGGCACCAATTACCAGCTGTAACAGCCTTGTGCAAGCCCCTGTAATGAGTCACTGAGAGCAAGATTGCTCCCTCCGGGGAGGGATCAGCAAGGCAGCGTCTGTGCAGCCCTGGGAAGTCACCAGCCTTTTCCACGCTGCCCCCCTGCCCCAGCAGAGCTGCAGCAGTACGGGGTCTCTGTCCCATGCACCCTCCCAAAGATCCCACCCTGGAGCAGGATTGGGCACCCAATGGCCGCCCCCATCCCTGGCATCCCAGAAGAAAGAGGTTTCTTGCAGCACAAGAAGCAGGCTGTGCTCACCTCTAGCATCAGGCATGTTCTGGTTTGTACGTGGTTGGGTCTGACCTGTTCTGCTTCCTGGCACTGTGCTCTGTACAAGGTGGCTTTGAATCGTATTTGTACATCTTCTGGGGACATCACTAAAGATCCTCTGCCTGTGTTCCCCCCCTTCCCTCCCAGATGATCTCCTAGGCCAGGGCTGGGAGGTGCTGCAGGATGCCTGAGAGCCACGGAAGCTGCCTTTACAGCTGCCTGGGACTGCTGGTGTGTGATTGAAGCAGTCGGAGAGGTTAATTTCTGGTTCAGGTGCAGTGGCTAGCCATGGGAGCAATCCCAGCATTTAGCAGAGGCAGCAGATCAGTCACACAAGCTTCACATTCTTGCACTAATGTAAGGCCTGAATGTTAATGACTTCACCCCCACCCCCCGCCCCCAGCCACAAATCAGTGTAAGAAAGCATCACTGTTCAAAGGGATGTATAAGTAAAACTTGTGGGAACCCTCCAAAGGGATATGGGAGATGCTCTGGAGATGTTCTTGCTTTAGGGGAAAGCTAGGAGTCCTGGAGACTTGGAAAAATGCATAAGGGGTGGGAGGAGAAGTGAATTCAGTGGTTTCTTCCTTATAAAAGAAAAAAGTTGTAGCCAGGGACAGGGCTGGGGTGAAAGTATGGGTTCAAGGCTTGGGGAAACTGAGTACATGGTTTTTGTCCTGCAGGGAGGTCTTTCCTGTGTGCCTGGAAAGTATCTGTGTCTGGACACATGGTGAGAGTGTGGAACAGAGGGACACTGATCCCTTCCCTGACCCCCTTTTCTAAGGTTCCCCCCCTTTGCTACATGGGCTCTTTGCTTCATGGAGCCATGTGTCCCCCTCCACCTCCCATTTCCCCTGGGTCCCCATCTTATTACTTTTTTATTTTTATTTTTTTGGTATGCTGAGATTGAATGCCCACAGCTTGAAGCTCCCTGAGGAGGTGCTCTGATTTCGGCAGCTTATGTAGAGCACTACCAGCCTGCTGTCCCCACACTCTCTGCACAGGGAGGCTGGGGTGGGGGTGCAGGTATCATCCCCCTCCTGGGCTGGTTGCCTCTCTTTACCCACCAGCTGCTCTGTAAAGTGGCCTAGAGGTAGCATGAAGGGGACCTTCGCCACCATCCACCCCATATTCAACTGAACCAGCAGCATCATGCAGCAATCTGTGGTGCTGTACCCAAAATTTTGCTTCTGTGGTGGCCTTTGTCTTGGGAGGGTCTCTGACATTCCCATCCCTGAGGAAAGTCTTCTCCATGCCGGACTTGCTCAGCTACACTCAGCATGTTCTGTGTCATGGCCCCAGACTGTCAAGACTTGTTGGCCACCAGAGAGCTGGGGTGAAGGTGGCACAGGGGAGGTGATAGCCGTGCCCGATGGTGGCAGGGGGGTGGCGGTGGAGGGGAGGGAGCTGGAGGTGCCATTTTGCCTGCAGGACTATCTGGGAGGGAGAGGGACACCCCCTTTCCTTACCCAGCAAAGTGAAAAAGGAAGCATCATCTTGGACAGCACAAAAGCCACAAGGGACAAGTTGCTGAGCTGAGCCCTGCCGCAGGGGCCAAGGACATGGGTGGGGTGTAAACTCAGTGGTGACGCTGAGCTGTGGACATTGAAAGGGAGGCTGTAGGCCCTCCCTTGCACCCCCTGGTGCTGGTGTACCTGTTCCTGTGAGTGTCACTGGCTCTGCAGCCACCTGGGCAGCAGATTGACCTCGGGCATCCCCGGTGGGGTTGTGAAACGGGGTGGTGGGGGGGGTGCATGGCTGAAGGCAAAGGAAAAGGACCTTCAAGAGTAGAGAGGGTCTGGGTCATGGTTTGGGGAGATGGGTGTCAGAAGTGGGGCTCGTACCCTGGTTTGAGACTCTGAGGCCTATGGGGAGGGGGGCAGCAGGGGACACACAGTCCTGCTTTGGGGTGGCAGAGTGGAGTTAAAGGACAGGGACAGCAATGCAGAGCAGTGCCCGCAGGAAAAGTCTGGGGCAATTCCTGGGAAAACATCGTTATTCCCAAGAACAACATAGGACCACGCAGCTTAACCCCACCGGCGCCCACATCCGTGCCACCTTCCCCTCCTTCCGCGAGAGAGCACAGGGGCTGCAGAGATCGCAGGACTGCCACAAAGGAGTGGGGAAAACAATCCAGCAACAGGTTTGTCCTCCCGGATCAGCCGGTTGTCCCCTCGCAGGTGTCCCAGCCTGGCGATTCCCTGGCGAGGCAAACCCACTGTCAGACCCAGGGCTCACACCCCCCCCCCCCCCCCCCCCTCCATCCTCCCCCCTCTCCATCCTCTTCCTCCCCCCGGGGCTGGCGCCCCGCCCCGTGCCCGGAGGCGGGACCGGGACCGGGGCCGGGGCTGGCAGGGAGCAAGAACGAGTTGCAACGGCGGGAGCAGGTGGAGAGACCGTCCCGCCGCACTCATGGTGCCCGGTCCCTTCCCTGCAGCCCTGCGCCCGCCGCTCGCCATCGCCCCGCAGCCCCCGGCTCGGACGGGCGGGCTGGTGGCTTCTGGGGAGCTGCAGCCTTCGGTCCAGACTCCCCACCGATGGCTCTGATCTCCTCTGCCGCCGCCTCAACCCACAGCCCGGGACCCTCAGCCTCTCCGCTGGGAGTGGGGATGCTCGCCTTCCTCCTGGCAGGCCCTGCCAGCCACCTCGGAGCACTTTCCCATCATGTGTCCCTGCCTCGCCGGGTCAGCGAGCCCTCTTAGTCGGTGAAAACTCCCCCTGTTTCACCGGTATCCTCCGGGGCTGCTGTCTCTTTGCCTTTCTGGTCTTCACCCACCCTATTCCTCGGCCACATCCTATTCAGACCTCACTCTTGGCTTGTCCTGCCCCTTTGGAAGCTTCGAGAAGGGTGGGCAGCTTCACGTGGAGCTACAGGCAGAGGTTGTCTTTGTTCAGTAGAACACCAGCTGCAGCAGGAACAACTTGGGAGCCATGGGCCGTCGGCTCACCCGTGGTCTCTCTGGAGCCGCAGTCTTCCTTGTCAGCGTGGCTCTCCTCTCCATGCGGCACCACGGGGCTCAGGAAACAGCTCAGTACCCGGGGCTCCGGGAGGGGACGTCGGAGAAGGCAGAGCAACGGAGCAAAGTGAGCCCAGATGGAGTCGGTGGCAGGGGGCAGAAGGACCTGCAAGTCCATCCTCCGGAGGGGTACAGGACCGAGGGAAGCCTGACGCTTGAGGATGTTTTCATAGCTGTGAAGACAACCAAGAGGTTTCACCAGAGCAGGATGGAGCTGCTCCTGGACACGTGGATATCCCGGGCCAGAGAGCAGGTGAGCGTGTGGCTGGAGAGAGGATGTTTGGTAATGGGGCAGGGATGGGGTGCCAGTTGGGGGGGGAAGGGGAGGCTGAGCACTGCAGTCCCACCCAGTACTTTGCCTTGTTTTCCCTAATTCTCACTTCTTTTCACACTGAAAGGGGGATGCTACCCAGCAAAATGTGGCTGCTTCATGGGAAAGGCTGGCAGAGGGGATGAAGAGCTTGTGTGGGTTCTTCCCATGAAGGCTGGGAGGATGAGCGCTCTTAGCAGGCATCACCTGCCTCTAACCTAAGCATGACTCTTTCAGCTTGAGGTGGAAGGGATTTAATTTCCTTTTTTTAACCAGCAACACTGGGGGTTGCAGACTGCCTGGGCCACACCAGACTGAGAGCCCAGACCATCCTGTGTCTGTATGAAATGGTGGGTTTTCAACCAGCCTGTGCCATGAATTTCCTAGCTTTCAAGCTGAGTGGTTCCCCCTGGCCCTCCATCAGGATGTCCACATCGCACCTGGGTACCCTTCGCCCTGGGATGGTGTAGTGCAACGGGCAGGAAAGCAAGGCAGGAGGACCTGGAGGACCTCCTGGAGTGCAGGAGGAGGGGTGGTTGTGGCCCTGTTCACTCCCCGGCACATCAGCACAGTCCACGCCTTGCTTCCTTGTGCAAATCCGCTCACGTGCATGATCTTGAAGTGGTGTGAGTGAATATTTGATTTTTAAAGTATTTTTTATAACTGGGAGTCTGACGTTTCCACCTTTTGCTAAAGCAGAGTTTGGAGAGTTTCCTTCCTGTTAGAGGAACTGGTGTGGGCCACCACATTGGTGGTTCTGTGCAGACTGGCTTACTGGTGGGCAGAAGTACTCCCCAGAGCCCAGGTACTTCTTTCCCTCCCTCGCAGAGCTGCTCCTCAAGAAAGAAGAAATCCTGTGGCTGCCCCCAAAGTGTGGTTTTTTTTTTTTTTTTTTTTTTTGCCTCTGCCTGTGTGTGACAAGCACCCAGAAGACAAATTCAGGCCTCAGCAAGGAAGGGGGATGGGGTACTGGGTAGGAGGGTGCTTGAAGCAATGCAGGGTTTTCTGGGTAAGGGTGGTTTTCCACATCATGGTGCTGCAACTGTCTAGTCTGCTGCGGTCGTCACAGGAAGCCGTGTCCTATTTTGAGCAACTTCCTCTCCTGTCTGCGCGTCCTTCTCAGCATCTGAGATGTCCTGCTTCCTCCTCCAGATGCACTTCTCCTCTCTGCCTGGCCTCAGCCCAGCAGCTCTTTGGAGAAACCAAACCCAACCCCTCGGCTGCAGTGGCATTAAGATATTGTGACTGGGGCTTTTGGAGTGGTTTTTTTAAGGAGCAGCTCACCTTTCCCTCCTCGTGTGTTTGACAAAGAGGTGCCTGGCCATTCCACTGATGACAGGAATTAGATACTAGCTCCCCAGATTCATCTGACCCTCTCTGTTTGGCAGGCAAACAATGTCCAAACCTGGGAAGAGGTGTTGGACTTTCCATGCTGCTGCCAGCCTCTAGGAAATGTTCACAGACTGAGCAGGAGAATAGGAAGGAAGGGTAGAGTGGAAGCATCAGTAATTTTTAAACAGTGTTTTGTCATTGTTATCAATTTTTATTGCAAATTCAGTGTTTTCCTCCTCCCTCTCAACTTTCCATGTTTTTCTTCTGTTTTTTTTTACTGAATGGCCTTGAGGGCAGGGGAATGGGGGTGGGGATGGAAGTAAAGAGAAGAACATGAAAGTCAGAAGCCTTTTTTTTTTCTTAAATATACTGTTGCTGGAGGGGTTTTCTGGAGGTAGGGGAAAGAGTTAGTTTTGAAAAATGGACAGTATAGGAACATTGCTTAGCAGAAAAATGAGAGCTCTCAATTTGCGAAGAACATTTAATTGTTGTGGGGCCGGGGATAGGGCACCAGACCTCCTATTATTGCATCTTTATGGAGAGGCATAGGCTTTAAGAGCCAGTCTTGGAGATATCCTGGTCTATGAAGCCCTGATGTAGAGTCTACCTCCTCCTAGGCCTGACCCACAGTCTTGCTGTCTCACTCACGCTTACTCACGTCTGGAGGCTGGTTCAGTGGGTTTTTCTCTGCAAGTGGCCAGAGGGGAAATTTTAGCAGCTGGCTGTGCTGCTGATGTCAAGCCTGGTTTCAGAGCTGAATACCTGCATGGTGTCCTCCCGGAGGAAGCAACCCAGTCCTCCCAGGTCAGGCTTAGGTGACTGTAACAGGAGGCAGGAACAGCTGTGGTTTTTATGGCTATGACAGACTGTACGGGAGCCAAATTGAAAGTCCTCTATGTTGGACTCTGTTGGGGTAGACAATAAGAGAGAGAGACATTTTCCCTGAAATTGCACTTTTTAAACAGAAGAGAAGATACGCAGCTGGTGGGAGACAGGGAAGGGGAAGTGCGAGGTGGGCACTCTTCGCTCTGCCTCTTGAGAACTGACCCATGACAAACTTTCCACTGGAGCTTGATGTGGAAATCATTTCAGCAAAAGGCCTTTTCCTCAGAAAAGGTTTCATCGAAACAGAAGTGTCAGTTTTGATGATTGTTTAGGTTGGACAGCTTCTTGGAGCGGCTTATGTTCTTGGCCCCAGCAGTTTTGACGGAGATGAGTCTAGGTTTCTGGTCTGAAATGGCATTTTGGTTGGTAATATAAACTGGTTCTAGCACTTCTCCTCCTTTCAGAAACCCAGACATCCAGCCAATTGAAATGAAGCCTTTGAATGTCCCATCCTGAACTGGCTTTCACATCTTCAGTGTTGCGAACACACGATAGATTTTGAATCTGTTCTCCAGGCAGGACACAACAATAACCCTGTTGAGCTGTTAGCATTTTGGAGGGGGTTTCTTCCTGGAAAAGTGACACCCTGGGAGATGAACGTGGCCCTGGATTGTCAGATACCACATCTTTATTCCCTTTCTCTTGTTCTTCCTTGCTAGGCCGCTTTCCCAATTTGGAGTGAGGAGGTCTCAAAGTGTAGTATTTATAGGCTAGCACGGGCTCTTATGTTCACGGAGAGAAGCCAGGCAAAGCTGTTTGACACCAGTGGCTCCATATCACTTCTTGCATTTCTGTACAGCAAACATCCTTTCCCACCCAGTTGTCTTTTCCACTCCAGCATGGAGGGATGCTTTCCACGCTGCATCCTTCCTCAGGCCCTGCAGCAGCATTGACAGCCATCTCGGCCCAGTCTCAGTGCACTGAGGCACCGCAATGGGAGATCCTGTGCGGCCCCATAGATGGTCTGGTGGAGAACAGGAGGGTGGATGTGATGGGGAGGCTGCTTCTGTCTACCCCATTTGCCTGCAGGGACGTAAGTGACACCAAGTGTTCTTCTGCTTGCATGTCCCCAGCAGGGAGAGTAGGTCTGGCATGGCCAGAGAGACCTTCTGAACCTCTTGAGACTCCATTAGTATGGACAACAGTGGGTGGTGTCTCCTTGAGAAAGAGGTGTAACAGGGCCAAATGGTCTCCAAGCAGGTTTTTAGCCAGGGCCCTTCTCTCTCTCTCTCCCACCCTGGCCATCGTGTATGGCTTTGCTGAGGAACACATAGAGGTGGTCACTTGGATGCCGGCAGCAGTTGCTGTTCCAGGTTGCCCACTATCAGGGGTGTGAGGGATGGAGAAGACAAAGATGCAGACAGCTGCCTGTGAACTCCTTCAGGACAGAGCCAGGACACACACTCCAGCACCTCTGGAGTACTGTAGCCAAGTATGCCATGGAGATCAGAGTGTGGGAGAGCCAGAGAAATCAGATTTGCCTAGCCCCACACTCGTAGCCTCCTTTTTCCAGTTATTTTGGACAGTATGGTGTTCCCCATGATAACAATGTTCCTTCATCTTTGGGTTCCCACAGAAACATGTTAGGTGTCTGCAAAAACACATTTGCCACGTTGCATCAAGAGGGAAGTGGGAACCTTGGAATATTTTCACAAGTAGAAAATCTGGCAAAATATGCAGATTCCTATTTTAAGTCAATCAGATACGATGTTTATTAGGCACATGATTTCTAGTTAATTTTATATCTGTAAGCAAGCAATTTCCAGCAACAATGTTTCTGTTTTTTTGAAAAAGGTCAGAAAGTTTCAATAGTTTCAGATTTTTTTTCTTCAGATGAAGTATTTCTCATAGTGGAAATTTCTGGCTCTGACACACTGGTGAGGGAAATCCCATGCCACTGGCAAGCTCTGCCTTGCCTGAAGGTTGTGATATGGTCCCCTGACCCAGAACGACTGTTTTACCTGAGACTTAGCTAATTGCTTCTTGTCCCATGATCACCTTGAAAGTGGTTTTAACTAAGGAATGTGTGCATGGCCCTTTGCTGCAGCTCAGCTGCTGGAGGGTAATCCACCAAGTTGCTGTAGCATGTACATTTGAGATCATGAACCCATCCTTCTCTCTCCGCTCGAGCCAGGTGGTCTCTGAGGGTCCTTCATTGCCTTTTTTTCATGTGCAGAACATTTCTCCTGCCACGTCCTCATGATGGGGTTCTGTCCCCCAAATGCTGGGTGAGTGTGGGGAGACTAGAGACTCTCATCTCCTCGCCAGAGCCTTTGGGAGCAGTGATGGCTCCTGGAGCTGTTGTCTACCCACCTGCTCCCCTTTGTCCCTGCCCAGGTGCTGCGTTTAACCAGCCTGTGGGCAGCTGGTGGCGAGACTGTTTACAGCTTGTGACTCCTTTCTGATTTCATGAAAGCTCATTTTCTGCCTGAGGAAAGCTTTTCTCCACCAGCCCTTATCCCTGCCTATCCCTGAAGAGGGAGAGGTATGCCACATAATGGCAGAAAGGGGGATTAGAGAGGCCTGGGGGTGGAGGAAGAGGAGGAGGAGGAGGCAGGAAGCAGCAGGGGGCTGTGGACACTTAACACACAAACAGATGTTCTCCTTTTAACCTGAGCATCATTCAACCACAGTGCTTTTGTTTTTCTACCACTGACACCTGAGCCAGAGGTCCCTCACCCCTTCGCTCGGTGTCACGGGTCCGCTTCTCCCTGTTCCCAAGGTTGTGGGGGGCAGGTGGGGGTGGTGGTGAAATGAAGCCACACAAGTGCTGACAATTGTGCCATGCAGGAAGGGGAAGTGTGACCATCCCTCTGCTCAGCTGCTGCCTAGGAGGGGGGCACGACAGCAAAGATGGAGAGAGGTGACCGTGGTGAGCATGTCCAGCTGCAGGGAGAAAGGGATGGGTGGCCAGGAGCAGCACCAGCTCCAGCACTGAGAGTAACCTCCTTACCTTATTTTCCCAGACCTACGTCTTCACCGATGAAGAAGACGATGCCCTGAAAAGGAGAATGGGTAATGACCTGTCCTATAACACCATCTCCTCCCACCTTCAGCCTCTGAACTGCCATGGCCTTGGGAGAGGGTCCAGCATGAAGGCTGGATCTCCTACGTCAGCGCTGCTTCTTGAAGCACACCCCTTGCCATGTCCCGTGGGAGGACCCCAAGCTGCAGCGGTGATGATTCGGTTTAGTTGGCTTATTTCAGGGCATGCAGCCAACCGGAGACAGGGTGCTATCTGCCTTAAAGCATCCATGGGTGGAATCAGCCCATGAGAGAGTCCCCACACACTGGCTGTGAGTGGGCAGGGTGGAAGTGCAGTTGGCAGTTGTCCTAGTCTTGGCCAAGATACTTGGCTTTCTCCAGGTTTCATCTCCAGGTAGGGGGAAGGATGAAGCCCATGTCACCTTGGGCTCAGACGCCTGTTTGGGTGTTTGCAAGGAGGCTGGCTGTGGACGAACTCCTTCCCCGCCACCCAGAGGTCCTCCCAGTGATCGTGTGAAGTGGGGCGACCCTGAGCCACAGCTTTCTCTCTCCTGGCAGGTGACCACGCAATCTTCACTAACTGCTCTGCTGAGCACAGCCATCTGGCCCTCTCCTGCAAGATGGCTGCTGAGTTTGACACCTTCATGGCCAGCGACCGGAGGTGAGGCAGAGCCGTCACGGGGGGGACCCCTGAGAGCAAGAGACACCCTCCTTACCGCAGACCTCTTGTTTTTTTTCTTCCCATCTCCCCTCAGCTGGTTTTGCCATTTGGATGATGACAACTACCTGAACCCTCAGGCCCTCCTGAAGCTCTTGTCCTCCTACTCTGTGACGTGGGATGTTTACTTGGGGAAACCCAGCCTCAACAGACCCATTCGGGCCTCCGAAATGCTGCCAAACAACCAGACGGTACAGACTGTGGAGGTGGTGAGGTGACCAATGGGCTGGTTTTAGTGCTCTGGCTCTCTGGCTGCAGATGTACGCCAAGGAGAAGCAGGTCCTAAGAGCAACAGGCAACAGCTGAAAACTCGCCAGTCTTGTCTGAACATGATTTTAGGCGTTGACTCAATCTGATCTCCCTCGGGAAAGAGTCCCACATTGCTGCTGCGCCTTTGGGTACCTGTTTGCCAGGCGATAAGCCTGTCTCGGGCAGCCCAGCTGCTGCTGCCAGCAGGAACTTGGCCACTCCAAATATGAGAAGGTCAAAATCCATGCTGTGCTGCTGGCAGGTCCTTCTTCTGGGCAGCAGTCAGGGGTTTGGGGTGACAATAGGGTTGTGTTTATCCTGGCATCAAAGCTGGGTTTCCAGCGCTCCCATCTCAGGGAGTATGGTATCGTCTGAGTCTCTGCCATTGATTTTTCTCTGCTGTTTCTTTCCAGAAGTCTGTGCGCTTCTGGTTTGCCACAGGAGGGGCTGGGTTCTGCATCAGCCGCAACCTGGCAAGCAAGATGGTGCCGTGGGCCAGGTGAGCTGTGCAGCTGGTGAGTATGGGAGCTTTTGGGGACGAGGAACACGGCCGCATATTAATTCCTGGCAGTGTCAGATCTGGATTTGTGTATGTGGTGTTTGAAGGGATGTTTGCAAGGGTGCAGAGTGCCACGTGCTACACACCTGCAAGCACGTGGGACTGGAGGGAGGATTTAGCGGGTGGGTCTGCCCTCGGATTAAAAAGAGGCAAGAGCAGGCAAACGTGTCCGCAAACATGATCATAGGATGACATACTCCCCTCTCCCCAACTCATTTCAGCTCTTGGTTATTCCCCCACACTCCTTCCCATCCCTTTGAGCTTCCTCTGACTCTTTTCCTAAGTGCTTTCCCTTTCTGCCTATCTACTTTCCCCTTAATCTGCCTCTTTCCAACCTCCTATACCTCCCTCCTGAGCTAATTTCCCATTCCCCCAGCCCAAACCCTCTTCAGCTTCTTACAGTGGCCACTGTCATTTCCTCAGCTTGGTGCATGGAGAACAGAAGAAGATCCCGGGGTCCTGTGTTAGCCCAGCCTACAAGAAGTTGATGTTTTCCATGATGACCTAGGTTCTATCACAGGCTGTATGCACATCCACTGATAGGCAATGGCAGTGCCAGCCTTAACCAGACCAGTGCCTATCCAGAAAGGCAGATCTGATCCACACCAGGTGGCTGGTTTAGCTGAAGCCCATGATACATATTTTGTGGTAGATCCAGGCAGGATGATCTGTGATACAGGGTAAAATGAAAGTGGCATGGATATATAATGCCTAACCTGGCATAAAGTCTGTGCTAAAATGCTTAAACCACATTTGAACTAGCTGAGGGGTGTTATAGTAGACAGTGCTTCATGCTGTGTGGATGCTTCCAGCTATAGGAACCTTAAAACTGGGTTTAGCCTGTCGTCAAAGGATGACCAAGCGTGTGATGTTACATTACAGTGGAGCCATGGATAGCTTACTCAAGCTGCACAAGACTGTCCTGTCTCTTCTTCCTCCTGGTTCTGGCCATGTGTTCCCACTGTTTCTCTTGTGCTGGCTTGTCTGACCCCTCAGGGACCCAGTGCAGCTCAGCAAACAGGTGCAAAAGTAGCTCAGCAAAGTCTGCCAGCTCTGCATCAGCTCACCGAGGAGCTAGATCGGGGACAGCACCTGACAACTGGTGGGACAGCACGGCTGAGGGTGATCAAAGAGCAAACGCATTCCCAAATCTTTGTAGGTGGAACTCGGGGATTTCTTGCCTAGTTCCAAGATTTACTGTGATTTCAGTTAAGTCCTTCATTTACCTTCCACCTAAGTGGATGTCTATATACCCCCCTCTCCTTTTCATAACCCATGCAGCCCTACTCTCTTCCAGTGGCAGGAGCTTCCTGAGCACTTCCGAGCTCATCCGCCTCCCAGACGACTGCACCATGGGTTACATCATTGAGTGTAAAGTTGGCGGGCAGCTGCTGCCCAATGCGCTCTTCCACTCCCACCTGGAAAACCTGCAGCTCATCCCCCCGTCTCGGCTCACGCAGCAGGTGAGGAGGGGAAATGGAGCAAGAGGGGCAGGGTGTGAGGAAGGAGAAATGGAGGGGAGCTTACAGGCACATTGCTCCGTTGGTGGGACTGACGTGGGTTGAATCAATCGCCTGCTCTTTTGGGGAGGTTTTCCTGACAAATGCTTCATTGAAATAAGGAGCAGATGTTGCCTGCAGCACAGATGCCAGTCACAGTGCCCCTGGGCTCAGTGGTGGGGAGCACAGGTATGAGGAGTGAGGGGAAGATTGAGGGCATTCCTGGGGGAATATGGCACAAGGACAAGCAGAAATGATGATTGACTGGGGAAGGGGCTTTGACATGGCACCATGTCTGCCTTGAGTGGGGAGATAACAAGGACTGTAGAGTGCTTGGAGAGGCAAAGGACTAGCACAGTGGATCATCATGGGAAGCAAGACAGGAGAGATAGGGAAGGCAGAGGCCAAGCCAGCAGAGAAAGAACCAAAATGGGATCTTCTGCTGCCCAAAGCAAGTTCCTTGCTCCTGAACCCACCTTATCCTCCCTGTTCCTTTTTCATCACTGCTCTTTGCAGGTCACCCTCAGCTACGGTGTCTTTGAGAACAAGCTCAATGTTATTGAACTCAGTGGCCCCTTCTCACCCCAAGAGGATCCCTCAAGGTACAGGGCATGAACGGTCTGGGTGTTGCTGTTGTGTGAGCCCTCAGACTGGGAGGGGGACACCTCGGGCTGAGAGGGAGGGGCAGCCAAATGGGGTGCAGGAGGTCTAGAGTGAGGGACAGAAGCCTTGCAGTCACATGGCTTCTTGGGTGAGGGACACAGCAGCATTAATGTCTATGTGAACGCTTACAAACTTTGCAAACCTTTTCAGATGAGTGGGAGGAAAAGGGGTATCAAAACATTTTATTTGGACAATTCCTGAGCCAAAAGTATTGCCGTTTATTTCACATTTTGAGACTGAACAAGGTAACCTTTTACCTCTGGGACAGGAACAGAAATGTTCTTTTAAACTCAGGAAAGGAATTTCTGCTTGCTTTTTCATTTTTTGTTTTGCTGAGAAGACTGAAGGGGGAAAAGAAAAAGGTTCACTTCAGGCTGACTGCAAACAAAAGTGTTCTTTGATTTACCTTGTCTGCTTTGAGTGAACAAACCTAAAGTTGTTATTTGCAGAGCATGGGTAGGAAGCGCCTGGCTGGAGATGGCAGGGGTGGGAAGCAGCTAAGCGATGAAAAGAACATCAACAGAACCATGTAGCGGGGGCTGGTGCAGAGCCCATCTCCCTGTCTGTGATCGGGGTGAGCCATGGGCTTGGGCTACATGGGCCAGACCTGGATTCAGGTGTTGGAGGGAGGCTTGGCTGCTTAGCTTTGCTGAGAAAAGACATCTTGAGGTGAACAACCAGTCCTGGAGCTCTCTAGTGCAGGGTGGGCACCTGATGTGGGATGGGACATGAGGGAGAGGTCTTGCATTCTCCAGCTGTGTGCTGGTGTAAAAAGTGTCACCGGACCTTATTTTGCTCTCTTCCCCAGCAGGTTTCGATCACTCCACTGCCATCTCTATCCCGACACCTCCTGGTGCCTGCAGGCTCTTGGCTGGTGATGCCTGAGCCTCAGCTACAGTGGGTCCTGGTGACACCCATTCACCCTGTGCATGTAGGGGGGGGACGCTGAAGAAGCTCAGTGTTCCCGATTTCCCCTTTTCTATGGTGGTCCTGCGCTGTGTGATGGCTTTTTTCATCCTCGCTGAATACTGGTGACACAGGACAAAAAACCAAGATCTGCACCAAAGATGGATAACACAGGCTGGACACGTGAACGGATTTCCCATCTGTGCTGGGATACGTGCAAAGGATGGGAGAAATATGCCTTCCTGAGCAGATCAAGGACTGGGTAGTGACTGCTGGGCATCTGGGTAGAGATGGGGACCTGCAGCTGCTCCTCGCTCTGAATTCATCTTGCTGGACTAGAAGGACCCTGGGAATGGGTAACCAGTGCTCAACTGAGAATGGCCGATAGTGTGTTGTGGCTCCAGCCTCTCTGAGCAAGCTCCCTTCTTCCATATCTGCTTGTGCTTTCCCCACCACCCACTCTTCCCAGCCACAGACCCTTGGCTGAATCTCTGCTTAGTCAAGGTCTACAGAAATGGAAAATATGACCATTTCTGTGCTGAATGGGTGCTGGAAAAGCGTAGTTCTTGCTCAGCAGAGGGGAGATGGGCAGGAAGTACAAAGAATCAGGAATTCCCCCCTCTGCCACGACAAAGGAGAGGGTGTGGGGTGAGGGAGCTGGGAGGAGACAGACCGAGATGAGGATGGTTCCTGCACTGAGCATTGAAGACTTGATCTTGTATGGCACTGCATTTTTGCTGTCTTTTTACCTTCTTGATATGGGGTCAGGATAATCTCTTGCTCTAATTACCAACCTGTCGTCTGAGATTAGACTCCAGCTCCTACCTGTGAGAGACAAGACATAAAGGATTAGAATTGGCTGAAAGAAAGGAGAAAGGAAGAGATGGAGAAGGAGCACTCAGGAGCGAATTAAAGGTTACAGCTTTATAATCTTCTCTGTGCCCCAACCAAAAAAAATTAAGTCATGAAGGAATGGAAACAGCAAGGCAAAATGCTTTTTATCTCTGTGCTTCTTTAGTTCGGATGCTAAGAGCAGCTTTCTGCCTTCCTGCTGTCCCTGCTGAGCGCAAGAGGGGGAAGGAGCAGGCCCAAATAGGTTACAAGCTTTCTGGGATGTTTGTGGAGAGTCCTTTTCTCAGTGCAGAGCCTGGCATGAAAGCTGGGCAATTCTTCTTGCTGAGGAATGAACTTTGGCACCATTTTGTCCTTGTACACATGGTTAAATGGCTGGGGGAGAGTGTTGCAGGGAAAGCTGGAAGGCAAAGAGGCTGTTTTAAATGGCAGGTGGTGCTACAAACAGGTATTTCTCTTTAAAGAGCATTTCAAAACACACTGCTGGGATCTGTGAAAGATGCCTATAATCTCCAGATGAAAGGACGGATGCCCTTTCTCCGAAGAGCTGCTCAGCTTTGATGCTGCTGATGTGACTAAGCCTGCTGCTGGTGGGCTGGAAGAGCCAAGGCGACTATCACTGTGCCCCTACCGTTTTGAAAACTGGCCACCCTGTCACCTCCTCCCACCCCCCACCCCCTCCAGCACCAGCACCTCCTACACAGCGCACGAGGTTTAAAGGAAAGTTGTCAGAAAGACCTTTCCACCTCTGCAAAGGGGGATCTAGAAATGAATGAGCACTTTAATTTCTGGAGAAGCATAAAGCAGGAGACTGTAGAGCTGTTTTCCAGCCTGGTCATTCTTACCAGCATTTAACCAGCTTGTGAAGCAGCAGAGAGCCCTGCTTTCTTCTCTTGCACAACATACCTTTGAACTGGAAATTCATCCTGAGCAGAGACTGGGGCTAGCTGATGCCAATGACCATTACTTCAGTCATACAAAGCACTTGGCTCACACAGCTACATGAACCTAGGAAACATGTGGCTCAAAACAGAGACACTCAACTATTGGAAGACAGGAGCAGCGTAAAGTCCTGCTCCACAGGGCAAACAGTTTGGTTTGAACTCAACCGTAAGATGAAAAATGCTTCCGTGAGAGAAAATGAGAGTCTTCAAGAGATGTCTACGCTACCTGGATATCTTCTTCTTTTTCCCCATTCAAGCTTTCAGGTGTTGTTCATTGAGACTTTGAGTTAAAATTCCAGAACTATCTGTAGATGTCCTCATGACAGTCAAAGCAAAATGCAATACATGTGCCCGGAGGAAGAGAAGAAACTGGTACAGCAGCTTCACTTCCCTAGGGAAAAGCAAAACAGAGAAATTGGAAGCCTGCTGTGGTTCATGGCCTCAGCTGATCTGAATTGACCTGGTGACTTTTGCATGGCTGAAGAACAGATGTTAAATGAGTAGAGTACTTGAGTGGCTGCATGGGGACTGGTTTAAGACATCTTTGTTGCTAGAGCAGCTAAGTGCCACTTCTGTGGAAAATGTCTTGTCTCATAAGGGAACCAAGAACAGATGAGAAGATGTCTCAGGCAGGGCATCTCTTGGGCTGTAGAGAAACAAATGACAGAAAAGTGCTGTTATGCCTGTGACGACAATGCGCTGGAAAGAAAATAGCTTCTCGGAGTTGACAAAAGAACTCAGGTTTTCTCTAAGAACAGAGAGACAGCTTAAGGGAACATTCACCACATGAAATCTGATCAACATTAAAACCTGAGTTAAAATTAGTTTCAGGAATGATTCCTGCCTCTGGGGCTTGCTGTCAGATGTTGTGGTTTTACAGTCTCATTTTCCTAGTTTATTAAAATGTTTAGCTGCTTGGTAAAATGAGAAACAATCTCACGTGAAACTTTTTCAGGGGACTCTCTTTTTTCATTCTCCTTCATGATTTTTTGATGTGACAGTTAAAGATTTTGGAAAGGTTCCACTGGGTCTATTAAATTTTTTTCTTTCTCTTTTTCTTTTTTTCTCTCTCTCTCTCCCTTTCTCTATCTCATGCTCCCTTTTCTCATTGCAGGGAAAAAAAACCTCTCCCAAGAAAGAAAAGGGATGGAGACATGGTCTTTATATTTTACTGGGAAAAATGGGGTCAAAGTCAAAGGTTTTGGCATGACCCTGCTGTTGTACAACTTAAAGTGTAGTTCAAGGTCTCAAGTACAGAGATCTCTGTCTGCCCAACACCATAGCAACCAACACTATTAATGATGTTTAAGCTGTATACTGAAGATTCAGAAAAAGGAGAAGGAGGGGAAAAAAGCAGTTACAGTATTTGAAAGGTAAAGTATTAAGTGAGGCTTTCATGTTAACAATATCCTTTCTTCACTTTCCTCTTAGCTGTGAAGAATTTTTATAAGGAAACCCCCATTTGACAGTGCAAAAAAATGCTAATGACTATTCTTTCTTTAGAGGGAAAAGAGAAGTTACTTGAAATAGGTGGGAAACTGCAGTTGTTGCTAGAGACTTGGAAGGGGAAAGAGAATAGCAATGCTAGACAGTGCTTCTGTCCTGGTGCCAATTCCTCTTAAAACAGATTTCTAAGCCACTGTGGGATTTACCCAACTCATACCTAGATTGCAGCCTTCACCTCTCTCCCCAGGCCTCTTCCTAAAGATGCAGCCTTCAAAAGATGAGCAGTTTACTAGACAAGCCAAAAGGTGAGAAATAGGAACGGGAAGAAAGGAGATTGGAAGGAAAGAGACCATCAAGCAGGGCCTTGGGGGAGAGCATGGGAATTTCCATTGTGCATTGAAGTGCTGTTTGGGAGCTGCCCAGCAATAGCAGCAAACGGGGTGTTGCCTGGACACCCAGCTCTGGATGTTTTTGTGATCAGGACAATTGTGGCCCATCAGTGCCAGACAGAATGCCAGCCTGTGAGTCAGAGTTTACCCTGGAAGAGGTGATATCAGATTGGTTGGCCCCAAACTTTTTTTTTTTTTTTTTTCAAATAATACTCCAGATTAAGTTGATGTCTTTTCATCTGACAGTTATACTCAATTTCTTTCAGCAGATTTGGCCTCGATTTTGATACTTCCTCTGTCCTTGCTTACAATGCAGGCTCTTCAGACAGTCCAGGGTTGGGATCGGCAGCTCTTTTCATTCATTTATTTAATTTCTTTTGTCTTCAATCCCTGAAAAACCATACAAGACAGCTGGCTCGCCCTTTTGTACCACAGGCCACCAGGGCTCTATGCGCGTGAGCGCAATTCTGGGGTGGTTGCAAAGGTGAAGGAGGGTAGGTTACTGTTCCATTCAGTAACTGCATTGGGCACAGAGAGGCATGGACCATCCTTAAGTTCTTCCTTGAGGCACCTACTAGCAGTCGGTGCCAGAGATGGGATCTCATACTGACTGGGACTTTCTTCTGTCCCAAATACTGCTTGCTTTATGGCAACACTGAAGAGGATGCGAGACCAGGAAGAAGAGCAGCATCACAAATGTACAAATAACTATGTGTGTTTTCACCAGCTGATGCAGGAATTTTTACTCTGGACTTTCTACCCAATTACCTGGGAGGTTAAAAGACTGCAGGGCTGAGCTGGCTTTGCCTCTTTAAGGCTGTTCCTTGACAGCCCGAGATTTTTATCGCTCCCTATTTGATCCAGCTTGGACTCCAAGAAAGCTAGGAACTCATCTCTCTCCCTGTTTGAACTGTATGTGATTAATTATAGACCCCAAGAATGGGCTCCTTGCCTATCTCTCGTGTTTAAATTGCCTTCCAGGATTTTGTAAGACTAAGGAACCTCTTCAGATGTTACATCTGACTGTGCCTCGGTCAAGCCTCCCTTAGTTTTGCTGGGAGCTGCATCTGATTCATAGTGAACTCTGAGGACAAATTAAACTGAGTGATTTGTACATGGATTTGCTGGCCCTGACCCTTCTGCTGCTGCTTGAGAAGAAAACAGTGTTGATTTTAGCAACATAGGAAAAGGGAGTGCAGCGAAGCAGGGCGATTGGACGGGGAGAGATGCTGCTATTCTGAATCCCTGCTTTCCCCATCTCACCCCCACAAACGGGGCACAGAGAGAATCTGCTGGCCACGGTCTATCAGGTGGAGGATATGCCATGAAGTATCCAGCATCTGAACTGGCAGAGAATCCAGAAGCCTCAGCTGTGAGCCAAGGCCAGCTTGTGCTTGGTGCTGGACAGAGAGAAAAATGGTGCTTACGCTGAAGAACTAAGAAGCAGAGGCAGGGTGGGAAAGGAGAGGAGGGCTTACAGGATCGATGAGGCAGCATTGTCACATCTAATCAGGGGGAACAAGATGGTCTTTGGGGCAGGAAGGGGCAGTAATCAGGAGCAAAGATCCCTCTCCACCCAGAAATACCATGAAGCAACAGATCTGAAGGATGGCAGATATACGCACAGGGGAAGGGAGCGGTGAGGGATGAATAAAGATGATAAGAGAAAGAACCAGAAAAAAATCTACATCCTCTTCATGTCTGTGTTGGCAACTGATAAATGGTGGCCTCAGGACTGGTACCTTGGGGCTTAGGGGTTCAACAAGAAGAGGGGAAAACTGGAAAAGAAAAGACAAGGACTGTCTTCCCTTATCCACACACTCAATGCTGGCCTTTGGCTTCTCACTCATGGCTACCCCAGTAGCACAGGAGAAGATGTGGGGCTTGGAAATAGGATCAACCTCTATTCTGTGCTGTGTGTCTTCTTCCTGGGGAGTGCGCATGCCACTCGGCTTTCATGAACACTCAGAGAAGCAGCAGGCTGGGGCAATGAGCAGGATGGATGTGCTGAAAAGACTGCCCATTCCTCACTGCCCCACCTTTCACAGGTTACCATCAGCTTTGGGTGGAGCGAGGCTGACTGCAGAAGCTGCCCAAGCTCTCTCCACTTGTGATGGTGTTTCTTATAGTGTGTGTGGGAGAACACTCCTCTCCAGGCTCTTGGACAGGCCTGTTTCCCAAAGGTATGGTGTGGGGTGCAGAGAAAGAATCCCTGCAGCTGGTACGGAGAGCAGGGCCCCTCCATACCCCCTCCCTCCCTTTCCCCCAGCATTCAGCTAGTGTTGGACAGTGTCTGTTTTTAGCAAAAGTCGCAGATTCAACAGCTGAGCTGATTTTCCAAAGGGACATATAAAACAAACAGCCTGCCATCTGCTCTATTGTCCTGGAATAGCGGCTTGGAGGGTGGGGGGAGAGGGAAGGAGGAGAATGAAGGGAATGAGAAACAGAGGTGGGGGGAGAGGGTGGGAAGGAGGGGGAGTGGAAGAGAGGAAAAGGCAGAAAGGGGAAGCAGGGAGGTCATGAGGGGGAGAAGAGGGTGAAGGTGGAGGCTGAGGGGAGAGAGATAGAGAAGGAGGTATAGAAAAGAGAGAGCAGTGTGAAAACAGAGATGGAGTGAAGGGAGAGGACCAGAGACAGTCATGGGGGCAAACAGGGCTTGCTTGGGATCGCCGTGGTTGGATCCCCATCAGTGCTGTGAGCCACAGGGGCAGGCACCTCCAGCACCCCTGTCCTCGCTGACCCAGAGCCTGAATGCAAAAGAAACAAACTGGACTTAGTAGCCTGAATAATCACTCCCCTTCCACCCACACAGCCCTGCTTGCTTGCCTGCCGTACACCCTCCCTCCGCGTTGGCTTTTATTGAGTGCCGCAAGGCAGGGATTGAACTCCAGGTTTGGCAGCAGAGTAAATAACAACAACACTGGCCTCTCCAGCCCAGGAGGGAGGAGGGCTGGTTTTAATCAAAGGTAAATAACAGTCAGTATTCTCTGACCCGTAATCCAATTTCCTAGAACTGGAGAATAATGTTCCAACTTAGACACGTGGCGCTGGCCCACAGGAGAGGGATGGCTACTCAACCAGCCAGCTGCTGGGTACAGCACAACCAAGGAGAGCAGAACTGGGGGAGATGCCACAAGGCAGGTACTTCATCCTGACGAGCCTGGGACTGTGCTGTTCTCTTCTGACTCTTCCTGGTGCTTCAATCTTCCTTGCTTCAATCAGCACAAAAGATGGGGCTGGTGTGCTGGCAGGCAGCACATCTCCATGAAATATGGGCCCAGTTGATTAAAGGGCCCCTAATTTTCTCTGTTGACAAGAGAGCTGAGACCCAGCTAATGCTCTGCATCTATATCCCTCAAGGGCATTTTTGCCTTTCATGGTGACCTGGTGAATGGTGATTATGAAGTTGTGCTTGCTGTCATATAGCCATGGCAGGAATCACTATGGGTTCCTGCTACATGGTGAATGTGAGGAAGATTTCAGTGTTGGAAAGAAATGTTTGTGTTGTTATTAGTCTGGTTAACATGAGGGTCTGTGTGACTGGAGAGTTTGCATGCTGACTTGGTCACCTATTAGAATCACAGAGAGTTAAAGAGGTGGTGTTATTGAACTATCAGGAGATTATCTAGTCCTGCAGCAGGGCCAGCCACCTTATACCCCTGCTGCCAGTTGTTTTTCCAAATTACTCTTAAAACATGTTGTTCTGGTCCAGACTATTGGCATCAGATTGGAAAGCCAGGTTGCTGGTAACAAAGTGCTGGTACCGGGTTGATCTCTGAAAGACAGGCTCATTCTGCAACTCTGTGCTGACATCAAATTGTAGCTGCCCATGGAGCAACTCTGTCAGGCTCTTGGGCACTGCTTTCTCTGTGGGGCAGATGATTTGCAATTCTGGAACAAAGATGGCCTGGTGAGGCCAGGATGTTTGGAAAGAGACAGAGACACCTACTAGAGTTGAGGACAGAGGAGGCCAGATCCTTTGCAGCCCTTTTATCTTGCAAAATCACCTGGCAATCCACAGTAGGGGATTGAGCTGCTGTGGAGACAAGCACCTGTCCACCCTGTGAGCGGACTATGGTTTTAAGACCATTTTTCA